TCTCACTTCCTCTCTCTCTCTCCCTCTCTCTCTCTTGCTCTCTCTCTGGCTCTCTTTCTCTCTGTCTCTCTCTTCCAATATCTATCTCTCTGTCTCTCTGTCACTCTCTGGCTCTATCTCTCTCTCTCTTTCTCTCTCTCTGTCTCTTTCTGTCTCTGTCTCTCTCTCTCTCTCTCTTCCTCTTTCTCTCTGTCTTTCTCTCTCTTTATGTCTCTCTCTTTGTCTCTGTCTGTCTCTCTCACTTCCTCTCTCTGTCTCTATCTCTGTCTCTCGCTGTCTCTCTCTGCCTCTCTCTCTCTCTGTCTTCTCTCTCTCTCTCTCTCTCTCTCTCTCTCTCTCTCTCTCTCTCTCTCTCTCCCCCCCCCCCCCCCCTCCTTTCTGTTTAGAGGCCTGTATTCAGAACCATGACGACTAGGAAAAAGATTCAAGGCAAAAACAGAACTCCGAGGACAAATAGACAAAATGGTAAACATGGCCACACAACAAGGGGACTGTTGCTATGACAACATGTTGGAACGGAAATACGTCATCACACAACCGCGCACCAACAATGTGCCTTTTCACAAACAGTAAATTGCACCAACAATGTGCCTTCTCTCAAACAGTAAATTGTACCAACAATGTGCCTTCTCTAAATTGACGACACAAAAAGCCACCCGCCCTACATCACAGCACACCAAACCAAAGATCGTACATAACAAGATAGTTCACTCCTCTCTTTGAGCCAATTAAAAAAGTGTCCTCAAACTTCGGTGGCGCACTCTTCGAGAAAATGCGGACTTTGAGAACAGAGTTACCCTACTTGTGGGAAAAAAGTGAAACTAACAAACTGTGATATTCCTATTCTTCCTCGGGAGAAACGAAAGAGAGCTTTAATACAAAGACTGCAGCGCCATTTGAACCAATGCGCGGACTTCGGCAGACTCTTTTTTGGCTGAGTGAACTATCTTGTTATGAACGATCTTTGACAAAAGCAAAAAACATCACACCCTGTTAAGTGCACATTTATTTTCTATTGCAAACCAAACCAAATTAAGCAAACAAACAAACAAACAAACAAACAAACAAACAAACATACAAACAAACAAACAAACAAACAAACAAACAAACAAACAAACAGCCAAACAGGCAAACAAACAAACAAACAGCCAAACAAGCAAACAAACAAACAAACAAACAAACAAACAAACAGCCAAACAAACAAACAAACAAACAAACAAACAAACATACAAACAAACAAACAAACAAGCAAACAAACAAACAAACAAACAAACAAACAAACAAACAAGCAAGCAAGCAAACAAACAAACAAACAAACAAACAAACAAACAAGCAAGCAAACAAACAAGCAAGCAAGCAAGCAAACAAACAAACAAACAAACAAACAAACAAACAAACAAACAAACAAACAAACAAGCAAACAAACAAACAAGCAAGCAAACAAACAAACAAACAAACAAACAAACAAACAAACAAGCAAGCAAGCAAACAAACAAACAAACAAACAAACAAACAAACAAACAAACAAACAAACAAGCAAGCAAACAAACAAGCAAGCAAGCAAGCAAACAAACAAACAAACAAACAAACAAACAAACAAACAAACAAACAAACAAGCAAGCAAACAAACAAGCAAGCAAACAAACAAACAAACAAACAAACAAACAAACAAACAAACAAACAAACAAACAAACAAACAAACAGCCAAAAGCAGAGCAGCCGTCAGAAAGGATAGTCATGCACAAAGACTGTGTGAACAAACGTAGACAGTGGCAGACTGACAGCTGTGCGGTCAAACACGCAGGGCGAAACTTATTCAAACTTATTGTCAAATATCTCCTTACCTATCAAAATCAAACATAGATTCTCCAACTTTTGCACAATGACTTATATATCAATTTGTCTTAACAGGTGAATATTTTTTCAAACTCCTGCATACCTTATTTTAGAAAATCCCTTAATAATACTAATAAAAAAATCCCAGTCGATGGCTTCTACAGATTTTTAAAAGTTTACAGCGCGGGCAATATCACTTAAAAAAGCTAGTCTGTCATTTTTTTTCTTCTAATCGCGACTTTATTCTTATTGGACGTATGTTTAGGGAACCTTTATTTGTTTGAAAAATGTGTTCACTCTCAAAGCAATTTCTTGTAAGAAGTTTTGCCACTAAAAAGTGACATTGGCGAGCAGTGACGTAGGTCATAGGCGCATGTGAAATGTGTGCGAGAAGCGGGAATTGCTGGGAACAATCCCATTTTCCGCGTGGTGGAGATTTCTAGTATTTTATATACATTTACGAAGAAAATTTTTTAAGTCTAGCCCCAATTGTAAAAATATGATTGTTAAGACAAAATGATACAAACTGCTGTGCAAAGTATGGGTGACATTGATTTATCCCTTATAGAGATGTTTAAGGAAAAACTAAAGGAAGCTGGTGTCTCTGGAGGGTGTAAAGAAACTGAACAAATGTCCAAAAACTACTTTACCATCGATTTTCTCAAAACAGTATTTTTGGGGATAGCCCACGTGTGCTTAAAAACGACAATAAGCGCTGGGGGAAATGCTGAGTTCACGCCGTCACAAATATACATCTACAAAACAAACATACATCTATGTAACAAACATACATCTATAGAACAAACATACATCTACATAACAAACATACATCTATAGAACAAACATACATCTACATAACAAACATACATCTATAGAACAAACATACATCTATAGAACAAACATACACCCAGAACAAAAACATTCACGATTCCAAACAAAAAAAACCCCAAAGAGACTGCGTGAGCCGAGGTATCCAAAGCTTGCAACAGACGCTCATTGTATTTCCGAGTAACTCAGCCAGATCCTGCTAAGTTTGACTCACGCCAACATTATGTTGGGATTTTGCATTTCTTAAACCTGGTGCACACTGCCAACAGAACTTTTAAAATGGTGCATTTTTTTTTCATTTTGTGGCATATATATATATATATATATATATATATAGCTGTAATTGTCTTCCAAAATGTTGTATATTAGCTTCACATTTGTACCAAATATTCTTGTAACTATTTCTAGGAGTAAAATCAGTTATATCAAACTTCAAAGTGTCCTTCTGAATCGGCCTTTGGATATCTCGGGTCCCACTCGTGTCAAAGTGTCCTATACTTATATATAGGTGTCAAAGTGTCCTATACTTAGATCTCTATATATAATATACTTCCACAAGCTGACAAAACGCCTTTTTCTCATTCCCAGAAGTTTCGAGAAATCAACGACTTTCGGTTTTCAGATAAACGAAACGATTGCGCACAGTGCACCAATGGCTGACCTCACACCATGGGGAGAGGGTCACTCCCTAGGCTCAACAAATGATCATTAGAAGAAAACTGAAACTCCTTGGTTTCTCCAAACTGCAGAGAAGAAGTAAAAGGCGTTTTGTCAGTGTGTGGCAGTTATAGGGCTATTGTGAGTCACACAAAACTACAGAATGGTGGCCAGTGTGCGGCAGTATAGGGCTATTGTGAGTCACACAAAACTACAGAATGGTGGCCAGTGTGTGGCAGTATAGGGCTATTGTGAGTCACACAAAACTACAGAATGGTGGCCAGTGTGTGGCAGTATAGGGCTATTGTGAGTCACACAAAACTACAGAATGGTGGCCAGTGTGCGGCAGTATAGGGCTATTGTGAGTCACACAAAACTACAGAATGGTGGCCAGTGTGTGGCAGTATAGGGCTATTGTGAGTATCACAAAACTACAGAATGGTGGCCAGTGTGTGGCAGTATAGGGCTATTGTGAGTATCACAAAACTACAGAATGGTGGCCAGTGTGCGGCAGTATAGGGCTATTGTGAGTCACACAAAACTACAGAATGGTGACCAGCAGTCCAGTTGCCCTAAGCCCAATTTTTAAATACATTTTTTTTAAAATTGCAGTTTCTTGATTTCGGGTATCAGTTGCCTGTGCTCAAAATTAGTTTGTCGAAATTCAAACTACACGTTGAACAAGGCCAAGAAAAGGTGCCCACTGTAGGCACTTTTGTTGAAAGAAGGAAACATGATATCATTTTTCTCTCTTCATGTTTTGTTCTGGGCTTAGAACAGCTGACCAGCTTGCTCACGAAACAAGATAAAAACAATTCTCGTCCTGGCTATCACTGTCATGTGACATGAACCCCCCCCCCTCCCTCCCCTCCTCACCAGAGTCTGTGTGTCCGTCAGTGGGCGGGGCGGGCAGGTTGTCCAACTCGGCACTGTACCCAGGATTGGCCAGGTCCTCGCCCGTGGGAGCGGCCGTCTGAGCTACCATCACTTCCTCCGTCACTGGAACCTTCCCCTCCTCCTCCTCCTTCTCCTTCTCCTTGTCCTCGTCGCCTCCTGTCCCAGCATCCTCTCCCTCCCCGCCGGGCGCGCCCTCTGTCGGTTGGTGATGGTGATGAGGTGGTGTGGGTGATGGTGTTGAGGTGGTGTGGGTGACGAGGTGACGACAGCGTGGAGAGGGGAGGGGCCAAGGTGGAGGTGCCGGTCACAGAGCCAACAACAAAAACAACGGGTGTGGACCAGAGTCAAACAAAAGGTGGGTGTGCACACTACTGCGCAATTCTTCAGTACATTCTACTTCTTCCACTATGACGGAACTTGCAACAATCACAAGCGAAGACTACAAGAGGAAAAACGACGGTGGTCACAAAGTGAAAGTCGTGAGGGTACCAACTGTGAACGCTGGTTGACTCATAACTGTATTCTGTTCGAATGTCGGTTGATTATTGTTGTTAGATTACCCATTCAACAACACTTGACAATAAACCACCAGCCAAACAAATAGGAAGTTATGAGTCCACAAGCTTTTACAATTGTCCCCCTCACAATGTCCAGTTTGTAACTACCGTCGTTTTCCCCTGAGCTCTCCAAGTATGTACTTAGGTCCTACAGGTCTCTGCTCTAGCCGGGGAAAATTCTACAGAACGTACGGAGGAAAGTTCTACATAGATCTAGTTCATTAGAACAAACACCCACGGTGGCTTTCTTTTTCGTAACAGTCGACACTGCCCAAGACAACAACCATTGGCCGAGATGAAAGGTGGGTGTCTTAGACAGGTGGAAGTCTTAAGACAGGTGGTTGTCTTAGATAGACAGGTGGTTGTCTTAGATAGACAGGTGGTTGTCTTAGACAGGTTGCTGTCTTAGATAGACAGGTGGATGTCTTAGACAGGAGGTTGTCTTAAACAGGTGGTTGTCTTAGACAGGTTGCTGTCTTAGATAGACAGGTGGTTGTCTTAGACAGGTGGTTGTCTTAGATAGACAGGTGGTTGTCTTAGACAGGTGGTTGTCTTAGATAGACAGGTGGCTGTCTTAGATAGACAGGTGGTTGTCTTAGATAGACAGGTGGTTGTCTTAGATAGACAGGTGGATGTCTTAGACAGGTGGTTGTCTTAGATAGACAGGTGGTTGTCTTAGACAGGTGGTTGTCTTAGATAGACAGGTTGATGTCTTAGATAGACAGGTGGTTGTCTTAGATAGACAGGTTGCTGTCTTAGATAGACAGGTGGTTGTCTTAGACAGGTGGTTGTCTTAGACAGGTGGTTGTCTTAGATAGATAGGTGGTTGTCTTAGACATACAGGTGGTTGTCTTAGATAGACAGGTGGATGTCTTAGATAGACAGGTGGTTGTCTTAGACAGGTGGTTGTCTTTGACAGGTGGTTGTCTTAGATAGACAGGTGGTTGTCTTAGACAGGTGGTTGTCTTACATAGACAGGTGGTTGTCTTAGATAGACAGGTGGATGTCTTAGATAGACAGGTGGTTGTCTTAGATAGACAGGTTGCTGTCTTAGATAGACAGGTGGATGTCTTAGATAGACAGGTGGATGTCTTAGATAGACAGGTGGTTGTCT